GTTACCCTTTAAGTAGGCATTTTGGGTAGCCATGTGGAGACAAGTCTCCTTTGGTTTCATTTTTTTAAATTAAGAACCACAGTGCTCTGTGGAGACCAAGGGCTCTTCCTGACAGATGGATACACATGTTCTGTCTTGTGTATCCGAAGTCCATGGCTGGGGTCAGTTTTCTTCATCATCAGGTGCTTGGCATTTGGACTATACTCTCAGAGCTGAGCCTGCAGAGAATGCCTTTGTTCATCTGGGACCTCCTTACTCTTCTACAGTCCCTCATCCCCATCAACCACCAGGCACTTTCAAGGCCTTGAGCAGGGTGGTCCTCTGAGGATGTTCAAATCACATAGGCAGAATGCAGGGTCCTGTCTGTGAGGCAACCCCTCTCTATAGCTACCATACATGGGCCCCCACTTCTTTAGTTTGGGAGGCAACCCTCCCTCATCATAGCTAGCATAGGTGGGTATCCCGCTTCTTTTGTTTGTGTTCTGGAAGCCAGAGAGGTGCCATTTTGTCTTTCCATGTTTCTTGCCTTCACCGGAAGAGTCAGATGGCTTAGTGTGATACTAGTCAAGGGTTTCTGGCTGGTGGCCATTTTTTTTTCTACCTCTGTGACACACCTTCCCTGAGCATCAATCTGGCTTCCTAAGATGGTAGTTTTGTGCAAGTTGCAAGAAGGACATGTGTGCAGTCTCAAGTACTGCAGCAATTCACAAAGCTGTTGACAGAGGTATCTGTCCTGCCTGGTCTCAAAGAAACACACATTAATCATAAACTGAGGTCTAGGTCTAGTATCTCAGGCTTCTTATTAACTCTTACAACTTATCTTAGCCCATAATTCTTGTCTGTGCTAGCCACGTGGCTTGGTACCTTTTTTTTTTTTTTTTTTGACGAGGCTGGGTTACTACTGCAGACTGTCTATTGTCTCTTCCCAGAATTCTCCTGCTCTCCTTGCCCCACCTCCACTTCCTGTTTGTTCACCCTGCCTCTACTTCTTGCCCAGGTACTGGCCAATCAGCATTTTATTCAAATACAATTGACAGGGTATAGACCATTGTCCCACAGCAGAAGGCTGATGGGGAGTAGGCAGTTACAGGCAGCTGGAGGAGACCTGTGTGTGCTTCTGATATTTGCATCACTAAGATGAGCATGTCAGGTTAAAGAGGTAATGTCCACTTACCATGCTCCAAGATGATAAAGGAATGAACCTGCAAGCTAGCCACCCCAATTAAATGTTTTCATCTGTAAGAGTTGCTATGATCATGACGTTTCTTCAGAGCAATGAAAACCCTATCTAAGACACCACTCAGTGACAGCAACAACAAAGATGCCTAGATTAATACCTTGTAGGTTCAAACAGTAGAACCTGTTGGAAACAGCACAGAGGACAACTTGAAAGGCGTTAAACAGAACAAAACACAAACCACCTCAAAGCAGCAGCAAAGAAGCTAATGTGTGACTCCTCATCACCAGGGTGCAGGAGAGGACAGACATCACAGCCTCAGGAGCTCAGGGAAAACAATTAATTATCCCATTGCATGAGACATGGATTTCACAATGTTTACAGTCAGAACCAGCCTCCCGTTGCATGCCGCATAACCACCCCAATCAACGGCAGCCTCCCATTGCACTGTACATGGCCTTTCCAATCTAAGGTGAGATAACAGCACTTAAAAGACAAAACAGAAAACATGTTGTCAGCATGCACTTCTAAAATAAATGCTAAAGAGTTTTTCCCCGCCGAGGGGACAAGAAATGCACTAAACGTGATGGCAGCCGGCAGGTTAAACAGGTAGTGAATTCTCAGTGAGTGCTGGTTGGCTCAAATGTATAAATAATGCCTGTTTAAAACAGATATGGGATTGTTTTATTAATAGCAAAAAACAGGAGAGTAGGTAAAAGCTAAAATAATCTGAGGTTCACACATTTGTCTGGAAAATAGTAAAATTCTTATTTATATTAGCATTAAGGAAGTCTAGCATTCAGATTGACTAGTACTATTACAAGACAATCTTAAAGGAATGATAGCTCACAGATTAATTAACAGAGGTAATAAAATGGCATAAAACTCTACAGAGTTAAAACTAAAAAGGAACAAAAATATAGACCCAATGGAATAAATAGAAAACATACAATGAAACAGTAGGACCTAAAAAAAGAAATCAGTAATTACATTAAATGCAAATGTATGACTCCAAAAATATTGTCAGGAAGCACACACAAAAAATAAAAACCATTTTACTGTGCAAAAGAAACATATGTTAAATATGATGCTATAAAATGACAGACAGGGGAACGCTGAGAAAAGGAAAGGCATCCCCGTGCATACTTTCAAAAGAAACTTGGTACAGTTACACTACTATCAATCAAGTTGACTTAAAGATGAGATGCATCACTACAAGAGGATGGTTCATAAGAAAGAAAGATTTAGTGCTGGGAATGTATAACAAGGATTCTATGGCTATATGCAGTGAACAGCACTAAGCAAACAGAAAGATAGAACAATATTCAATCATTCTGGGAGATTTTAACAGATCTTTATTGTCAGGGTAGTGGGGGAAAGACACAGAGGCAGATTGAAGCGAGATACTGAGACAAAGAGCAGAGACAGAGAGAGGAGGGAGACAGAGAGATAGGGAGAGACAGAGAGATAGAAACAGAGGAAGAGGGAGAGGGAGGGAGAGAGAGAGAGAGAGAGAGAGAGAGAGAGAGAGAGAGAGAGCGCTGTTTTACCCAGCTATATAGCCCACGAAGCATAATGACCTTCAGGGTCAGATACCCCAAGGGTGTGAGAGTAGGTTTCCCTTGGGTTAACCAGCAACCATCTAATTGGAATTAAAGCCCACTCATCAGAAGATTTGTACCTGATTTTATTAGCCAAGTACCCAAGGATGGTGAGGTCATAGACCGTAGAGAAGAACCCACTACTGCCAATTCTCTAAGACATCACAGTTACCAGCTACATTCTAAATATCTTTCCTTATATCAACAAAGAAGCGTATCTTCAACCTTTTATCAAAGAAGCTTCTTTGTGTAACAGACAGAGAAATCACAGGAATCCATAACTGATCAAACACAGAGAACAACTGTCTATGGGGTGCCCATTGACGACACAACCCCTACACCTAAAGTTCAGGGAACACTATAGAAGAGAGCATGGAAAGACTGTAGGAGCCAGAGTACCAGGACATCTGCTTCCAGACAGTGTCTTCTGTATAAGACAGAGAGCTGCACCCATGTGGTCATCTAAACAAGACTCACACAATGATAACACCAGTTGACATTCCAACAGAAATAGAGGAACTCTCACAAGGCTCCAATCCCAATGAAAGGCTACGCAATTCATGGCTGATAAGAGAGGGCAAATGAGTCTTCTCCAGGGATGAGCCCTCCATTAGGTTATCCAGTCACATGTGGTCAGCTTTAAATATATATACCGATAAGCAATACTAAGTGGACTCAGCAGGCTATATTTGTATATACATATGTGTGCATGTGCATGTAAACCAATAATAATTGAAGAAGAGGGGGAAATAAATTTGAGAGGGAGTTAAGGGATGCAGGAATTGTGTAGGAAGGGTAGGTGGAAGTGATGTAAATTCTCAAAATAATAAGCGAAAAAATGGTTTTTTTAAAAGATCTTGATTGACATAAAAAGCATTACAACTAACAACTCAAGAGTGTAATTGCTTTAAAAGTATACAGGGAATGTTTGCCAAAAATAACCACTTCGAGGGCCAGAAAGTAAATTTCAAATGGTTGAAATTATAAGGGATATGTGGGCTTTTAAACCACAAAGCTACAACAGACTATATTCCCTCAGGTTATAATAAATGCAAGAATGGAAGAATCAAAATAATTTAAAATTAAGCATTACACTTTAAAATAGCACACTGGCCAAAGGGGATAAAATACAGTGGAAATTATGAATACTTTAGTTCAATATAATGAATTTTATGTACCTTTAAGACCAAGATTAACATACATGTAACATACATTGAGTGCACACATAAAATGAAAACAAAAGCTTTGTCTTCTAAGCCTCCATCATAAAGATTTTAAAAAGACAGCAAATAACTCACAATAAAGATAACATGATAAAAGTGCAAATAATAAAACAAAAATATCAAAAACACATGGAGAAATCAACAACGGCAAAATTATTTGTTACTTGAAATCAGTAATAACTTAGTTATGGCTCAGACAAGAGAAAAATAAGTTCCTACTATTTTAAAAACACCAAGCTCTTAAGAGGAATTAAACTAAGGTTACAGGAGCTTATAAATTCTAAATGTTAGGGGAAACTAACTAGCTTGTGAAAAAGCTAAAGCCTATAATAATGTTTTCCTAGAAACAGAAAGAGTTGATTAACCTTCCCTTACAGAAATGCAATCTGCAATTTGAAGCCTTCTCTTAAGGAAACCTTCAGGCAAGATGGCCTCAGTCATGCAGTTCCCTAACACTGAAAGTTATTACTGACCACACGAAAGGGAGAAGATGCTTACATGTTATGAAGTCCACAAAGGACTGTTTCAAAACTCAAAGAGAAAAGAAAATGGGAGCCAAAGGAAATTCCAAGAGTAAGCCCTGAGTGGAGCTCACTCCGCAGGGTCAGTTAGGGAGAGCGCCTGTTCTAGCTAGCTCTCTACATCCCTTACAAAGACAGGTTCAGAGATGGTGGGCAGCTGCGTTGAATCATCCTTCAATAATTGCCCAAGTTCCCTTTGACTCCCAAACAGACTGGGATTTTCTCATTAATGATTTGCCACTCTGAACTTTTCCAGTGTCTCATTGTGTCTTCAGCAAGGCTTAGACTACTGTCTGCCTTGACATCAGTAATCTCTACGTTGATGACAGGGCCCTATCTTCTCTGTTGAAGAGGAGGCTAAAGGAGACACATCTTGGCTGTTTTCCCTAGGAACAGCCAAGTCTTAGCGGTTTTTGTGCTTTGTGTTTAATCCTACCAATCCAGTCCCACGACCTGTGTGCCCCAGATGTTTGCATACCTGGCAGAATTTATCCACTTGTCGCACATAACCAGCCACGTCGTTGTCAGATTTGAAGATCTTCCAAACCTTCCTCTGTGCCGTTTTGTATTCCTTTGATCCCTTCCAGTTCATGGTCATCAAGGAGCGCTCTGTCAAGACGGCTGCCACGATGATGTCCAGTTGGCCATTGTAGAGCAGAACCTGAAATGCAGTTCAGTCCTAAGCAAATATGGAATTCGGAAGGAAAACCAAGGAGCAAACTCAGGGACAGAGGGCAAACCTGCATCAGACAGGGGAACCGGAGCTTTGCAGCCAGTGTCCCCAGAGGCTAGGCTAGCAGATCTGAAGCTCACTGCCTTCCAGGTCACCACACACACCAACAACCTGAAAGAAACTCTGCTCCTGTCTCAGGCAAGGCATCCTTTCAAGCTTAGTTAATCATAGTCAACAGCCATCTGTGTCCCAAAAGATAAGCAAAGAGGCTTTCCCGGACTCTGTACAACATTGATCTCTTCAGTCTTCAGTTTGGCCTGAATGGAGTCCTTTGGTTGAATCCTCAAATTGGATTTCGGTATGTATGCTATTTCTATTTTGATGATGCTACCTTCTTAAAAGGTTTACTCAAATCTAAAAGCCCAGTGTGTGTGGGTGTGTGGGTGTGTTCATCATATAGGCATGAACAACTCACTTAGTTGACTAGAAGGATATCTTTTAATCGAACCAAGGAATACTACACTTTGCGTTTTGCTTTGCTTGGTCCTCTTGCGTCATTTGTAGCAACTACAGCATCTTCAAACAGAAAGATAAACATCTGTTGACCCTGTGCCACTCCCAAGGCTTCTTGGCTTTACTGTGATGGCCACTCATCCACAGAGAGGGGCGTCCTCCCATTCCAGAACAGACTGTTCCCTCCCACATGAATGGATACCACCGAGAATGCTGGGATGGCTTCCCTTCTCCCTACATAGCTCACAGTTCACATGCCAAGGGTTTAGAAAATTTGTCAAATGCACTCTAGAAAAAGAAAGAAAACATAACTCATTTAACTATGCTTGTTGAGTCTCATTACGACCAAGAGCTCAAACCCCAACATCTTGTAGCTGGCATATAGTTAAGGGAACCGTGATACAGGAATTCTATGGGATAGTGGAAAACCACTTAAGTATTTGGTTGAATCATGAAGTGAAATGGGATGTGCTTATCTTAAAATTGAAATATGAAGGCTGAAAGTCAAACATCAGCCATATTACAATTACCTTACTCAATATATATACAAACACACATATATGACATGAAAAATTTGGAAAATAACACGGCTCATTAATTTACAAGGTAGAGACCTGAGCCACTTCCTCCTGTTTTCTGTCCTTCTGAGGTTGTTTACATGGGGCTAACATGACCATAATTCTCACAAAGCACTGCCACTCTATCCAGGCAAGAGGCTTTCCTAGACTCTTCTCAACCTTTGGTTTACTTCCGAGGCTCTGCTTTGGCCTGAGTGGAAACCTTTGGTTCAGTCTTCAAATTAGATAGCAAGTGTTTGCTGCGTCTGTTTCCATCTCTGCACAGATTCCTAAAAGGCTTAAATAGCATTAAAAAGCCAGGACTTTGACCCACTCCCTGTCCCCGAACAGAGGTGGGATGGGAATCAGGCTAAGATGAAAGAGTCCTGGGCCTCCGCCAGAGGAACACGCGGACTTTCATGTCCCTCCCTCAACCACCGTCGCCACCCCCTCTCCTACACAGGAACCCAAATGAAAAAGACCTTAATAGATTTAAGGCCATTTTAAAGATTTGACTCAACTGAGCAATAAAATATTTGCATTGTTTATACAAAACACGGCCTCAAAGGCTTCTAGTCCTTACGGTTTGTGCAATGCCTTGTACAGCTGTTTGAGCCAGAAGTATGGAAACAATTACAAGTGATGGGTACCAGCGAACAAAGCTCAAATGCTTCACATTCTATGGTGGCCTCATTATGGCTGATTAGCAGAGATAATCACGTACAAAGTAATTCTCCTTCCATAGTTCAGTGAAGAGACGCTGATTAATTAGCAGTTCGCCAGGCTGTCTGTTCTTCTGGGCCTTTCATGACCATGCTATGAGCTGTCTTATCCCAGATGTGTCCCTGGAAGCTACCCTTTTTTTTTATCATCACCATACCTTAGAAACCAGCATATGGTTGTTTACTTATTTTTTTTTTTCATTCTTAAGGGACCATGACAGCAGTCATAGCTAACGGGCTTGTCTGCACAGTATTGCGGCATGCACGTGCTGTTCTGAACCGAGGCACATCCCACCTCTGAGCTGCTTCCCTCATTAGTCCAAACTCTTCACCAACAAGAACACCAATACTCTGGGACAAGGTAGCAGGCCAAGATGCACAACGTTAATGTAGAAGACCCACTTTGGGGGGGGGGGTGTCAATGAATAGCTTCCCTTTTCAAAGCAAGGCACGCACTTTTAATTTCTAAAAGGCACATGAATCAAATCCCAAAATAACAGCAAAAGAGAAATTAAATAAATGGTTATGACCCTCGTGGTTGCAAACTTGGCGTTCTGCTAAAGCAGACTTCTGCATGTTCCTATGAGGATGATTCTAAAGAGAACTGGCATCTAGGTGAGTGACCGGAGTCAAGAGACACCTGCCCTGAATGGGAATGGTACCCTCCAACAGGTTGGGTGCCCAGAGAGCACAAAGAGTCAGCAATGGTGGAAGCCTGTAAGCTGCAGGATCCATCTTCTTGAGCAGATGCTTATGTTACTGCCGCTTCTCATAGGCCTTCCAGATTCTCCAGGTTTGCAGTGCACACCAGTCACTGCCTGGAGTTAGCAAGGGTGGCTTCTTGGTCTTGATCCGGCGACCTCAAGACCAAATGAGTGGGTAAAAGAGCCCGGGGTACAGCAACTGTGAGCTGAGAACGCAGGTGCATGGAGTCTGGACACCATGCGCGGGTGCTGTTTACTTGCATCCAGAGAGATACAGAGACCTCAGGGCCCGGCCTGACTCCACACTCCTGCAGACAATGAAAGATGTGTACATGTACACAGGGCCTGGCTTTTCCCAGACAGGTCAGTGGGGATCTAGGTCCATTTGTCCTAGACCGAGGAGTTTCCCAGGACCATGATTTTCAGAGCTAAGAACAGGAGAGTTGCTGGAACTTTCCCACCTGTGTGATGGTAATTAAAGCCACAAAGTCTAGAGTCAAAGAGAAGAGAGAGAAGTTGCATTTAGCTACATTTCTGGGTCAGCAGTGCATCAAATTGAACAAGAAGCAAGGGCAGACAGTTGGAGCTGCTTTCCAGAAATGAACCAGACAGTGCCCTGAGCACTCCAACTCCGATTCCCCGAACTCCTGCCTGTCAGCTGTGAAGCCAACAAGAAGCACAAGCATTCTTCTCTCTCTGGAGGACTGCTGGCTAGCTCAGTAAAACTTGTTATGCTACAAAATAGAAAAGTGCTTGGTTTTTTTGTTTGTTTATTTGATTTTTCGAGACAGGGTTTCTCTGTAGCTGAGGAGCCTGTCCTGGAACTAGCTCTTGTAGACCAGGCTGTCCTTGAACTCACAGACATCTGCCTACCTCTGCCTCCCGAGTGCTGGGATTAAAGGCATGCGCCACCAACGCCTGGCAGAAAATGTTTGTTGTATGAAAAAAAAAACAATCAAAAATTGCATTCTACTTGTTTATCCTCTATAATCGCCACGTTTTTAAACCACGTGCATGCTTTCAACTTGTGTAAAGAATGAGGAAATGTGCCACAGTTTCAAGGAGGCCAGAGGATGCTCGACTTGTTTCATAGTTTCATAGATTGGGGTGGAGTTTTTAGGTCATGTGGTCACAGTGTTGCCATACTGAAAAACTGTGTAACAGGCGGGGACACTGAGAGCAAACAGGGTGCCTCAGTTTGACAAAGGCTGTGCCTGGGTAGAGAGCCTGCAAACCTGCAAACGCTACCAGTCCCGTTTCTCACAGCAACCAGATAGAACAGCTTTTGGTTCTTAGAGCATCTGAAACCTCATTCCCTAACTGAAGCGTTTATGAGCAAGGCGTCAGGAGATTAGGAAGCCAATCATCTTTTCATCATTGATAAAAAGCAGAGGGTGGGCTGGGGAGGTGACTCAGCTGGCAGACTGGCTTCTCCCCAGATCTGAATTTAATCCTTGAAACCCTCATGTGGAAGAGGGGAACGGACTCGTTTTAATGCTCTCTTATTGTGTCCACATGGGTCCTGTGGCACAATCATCCATGTGTAACAGATGCATACATACATGAACACATAAGTAAATGGAAAAACAAAACACAGGAAAAGCGTTTTAATCTGTGCCCCGAAGTGCATTCCTCTCCACATGGCTTTATCCTTACTCACCCTCCTCAGGCAGGGCTAGGTGTATGGCCACTGTGTTGTTAAGGACGTCATGAGCGTAGGAGGTACTGAGTGACTCCTGGATTCCAGACTTTCAAAGTCCTACCTATATCTCCTTCAGAAAGCAACTTAGGCCCCCAAAACAGAAAGTACTGGTTCCCGTGACTAAGAGGTCAATATTACCAAAAGCCTCTGAAAATTGTAGGTGGGTGAGTGTGGAACCCAGTTCATGTCTCCAGAACAATGTCGGGCGGTTTGTCAATCTCTGCTGAGGTATCTCTCTCAGTCATTTCTCTCTTTGTGTGGACAAGAATGCAGGGAAGGGGGCATAATTCACAGAGGGTGACAGAGTCTAATAGGGGTGACTTCTTTATTTCTTTTTACTATAATTTTGTTTTTAGTATATATTCGTTATAGAAATCCTAGGTTTCAGTATGACATTTCTGTCCAAGTATATAGTGAGCTCCGTCCATATTTACCCTGACATCATTCTCTTGCCCATCACTCCCTTTCCTGCTTTGATGCCGTGGGGGGGGGCACATGTGTGCATGTGTGCGTGTGTAAACTTACAATCTGCATATGAAAGAAAACATCTGATATTCATTTTCCTGAGCATAGTTTTTCATAACGCGATATTGCATTCCATCCCTCTCCCTGCAAAGGCCAGCATTTTGTTCTCCTTTATGACTTAATAAAACTCCATTGTGCATGTATATGTATGTACTTTAGTCCGCATTGGCTTTACCCACACATGTGTAGATGGGCATCTCGGCAGCACCCATGATTTCACCGTGGTCAACAGTGCTGCAGTAAACATGGGTGTCCAAGCACCTCT